TGCATCATAGTGGTGTTTGTGTTTTCACCCTTCCCCAGCTTCTGGAGGCTTTCCTCGAGCCGCTGGGAGGGAGAAAATGGCATCCCCCATGCTCTGGAGGCTGAAAATCGGCTCGTTTCCGGACTTCTGGGAGGCCTGCTTTTTTGTCTTCCTGCGCGGACCCTGCCCTTACCTGGCATCCAAAATGGGCTGCGTGGAGATTCCTGATCTCCACAAAACCCCTTTTATTAAATGAATGTGAATTCTTTCCATTCAAAGGCCTGGTAAACAGTCTTTCAAAGGTGACTTTAGGACCACAGACCTTATCTAGCTTGGAAAGCTGCCCTGTAAATTGTTTCCAAATGTGGTGCTGTGCAAGGAAAGTTTCTGAGCACAGACTTGCAGTGTTGGGTTTCAAATTTTTTTTAGAACCTCTTCTGTAGGTGTGGCCTGTTTTGTGGGAGTGGCTTGCCGGCCATGTGACTGGGGGGGAGTAGCTTGCCAGCCATGTGACCGTGTGGGCGTGGCCAACTTTTAAAGTGGTGAAACTTAACAATGCTCATCCTTAGCAACCAAAATGTTGGCTCAGAAACTCTGGCATTTGACGTATGCAAGTCTTAAAGCTGTCAAGTTACAAGACCCTTGCACCCCTAACCCTTTAGAAAAAAACCCAGGGGTGTTCAAACTTGACAGCTTTAAGACTTGTGGACTTCAATTCCCAGAATTCCTCCTCTCGCTCTTCATCTTAATGATGTCCACACCGGCGGGGGGGAGGAAGCTGGAACCAGCTCTAAACGGCACGGTAGATTTGTGGAACCTCTTCTATAGAAGAGGTTAGAACTGGCAGGAACCCACCCCTGGCACAGAGTCTCTGAGATTCACGGACAGATCTTCACACTCCTGAAATGAATGAGCGAACAAATTGTTTCCTGCAAAAGCCCATTCCCCTTTCGCTTCTCTTTTATTTCCTATGGGAGGGGCTGTTTACTGTCTACCTGTGGCTTTAATCCCAAGTCGACCGTGATTTACTAAGCTGTTCTTTTCTTCTGACAACTCTGCACATGCGCACAGTGGGAACAGGCTCCAGCTGTTCTTCTGCCTCACTGATGTCTGACTCTGAAGGCAGCTGATAACTGTCGGACGGCTCTGGCTCCCTCTCTGCCTCCAACACAGAGCCCTCATCAGAGCCTTCCCCAGACTCCAGGACTGGCCCATGTTCTTCCCCAACCTCCTCGCTGTCCGAATCTGCCGCCAGATCTGCTGGCCGCTGGAGGCTCACAACACAGTGCCTGTATGTGATGCTAAATCATGATCAGAGTGCACAAAACCTCCAGGGGCTAGATTTCCTGCCATCCCCCTCTCCAGGCTAAGCCAAATGCATTATTAATTATATTATTATTAATAGCCAAATGCCGTATTAAGAGGACCCGTAGACCCACACGGAGTGTGGGTAAACCTCATCCAAATCCCGGCACTGCTAAAACACCACCCTAACGAATGAATCCAGAAGCAGCTTGAAAAACACAAGGGCCGGAGAAGCACGAGGCATGGAATTTATTATCGTTGTTGTTATTGTTATTATTATTATTTTTTAATCGATTGCAATGCGAACAGGCATAAGTATATTTTTTTCCTCTTTTTTTTTTCTTTTGAGTTCCATAAAATCAGATTGAAACTATACATAAAGGTGCATGCTTGTAGAACAGTTGTGGATACCTTGCAAACATGAGCATGAATCAGTCCATGAGAGAGAGAGGGAGTGGGAGAGGGAGAGAGAGCTGCTGAGCACATTATACAAATAGAGGTTTCTGCAGCATCCAGAGCTCGGAGGAGGAAAGGCGTGGAAGGGAGGCCAGCCGCTTGAAGCATTGTTATGATCGCTCTCTCCTTCCCAAGATAGGGTTTCCTGGCGTGTAGAGTTGGATTGGGTTGGGGTTGCTTGTTTTCCAAGAGGCTGTGAAACCATATAGGGTCTCCTGCTTGAGCAGGGGGTTGGACTAGAAGACCTCCAAGGGTCCCTTCCAGCGCTCTTATTCTGCTATCCATCACTCGGCCCACCTGCGTTTGGAACTGCGGCTGGGATTTGAACATCTTCAATGGGTGGCAGCCACCAATAAAGTAAAGGCACATCAGGGAGACAAGGCAGAAGAGGACAGGGGATAAAAATTTGACAGGAGAAGGGCACCTCTAAATGTTTCGGCAGGGCTTGTGTTATATGGTTGCCGTTTCCAGCCCAAAATTAGGTCTTCCTTCATCCCCAACGTGCTGAAACCAACAGAACAAAAGAGAATCCAATTTGCCCAGTCCACGGAGCTGTTTTTGCATTAGATCAAGGTGGATTAAACTGCTTTTTTCTCTTCCGTCGGGCCCCCTCTGGGCAAACCGACGATCCTGTCGGAAAAAACACACGTTTTTTGCTCCGTGGCCGTAGGAGCAGCCCTCCACCATGCCCCAGATGAAGCAAGATCCACAAAGAGGCTTCGTGAACACAATGGGCCTTTTAACACGCTGGGGCAGGAAAGTGGTGGGTGGAGCACAGAGAAAACCTTTGCGGTGAAACGCTTCTTCACTTCTGTCGTCTCGTCGTACATGAGGAGAGAAATCGAGAGCCGCATGGAGGGAAATGAAAGGCTGTAAACATCATTGGGTTCCTTAGTCCCAGTGAGGAGAAAAAGGAGGCCGCAGGCAAAAATGGACAAGGTCCCTTCTAATGTTTTGATTATCTTGTTTCAGGAGCATTTGAGGAACAAAGATTTGCACAACGGACTAAGCTGAATCCAGCCACAGCCATGGATAAAATATATGCGTAGATCAGCACCCCTCCAAACTTTGGGGCACTGGTTCAGTGGGGGGGGGGGTCAATTTATTTTACTACTGGTTCACTCATGTGCGTCGGGCAGATGGGCGGACCCTCCCACCACTGCTAATACTGGTTCGTCCAATCCGCAGAGAACCGGCAGAAATCCACCTCTGGACTGGTTCCATGGAGAGGTTTTTTTCCCCACAGGCTGAAGGGGGTTTTGTGTGCTGCCTGCATCCCACGAATGGGACGTTGCTTCTTTGCGTGGCTTGGTTTCTTGCATGCTGTGGCCCAGTTCAAGTCCACGGCCCATCCACGGGTTGGGGATCCCTGACGTAGATGATACAGCAAACCGAAGCCGCTCAGTTTGCTGTTATCAGCACAGGGTGGCCAGTAGCTTTAGCCACTTTTTCAGGCCAATTCACCACAACTCACTACAGGCAGCTCGCCGCATCACAACTTCCCACGGCACAATTCGACATGTGTCAATTGTTTCATTCAGTGGCTGTTATTCCTGGTTATAAGCCCCGTTTCCGTCAAAATTACTGAAGCTCTTGTACTTTCTGGATTGATTTTCTATATTTTTATTATTATTATTATTATTGGCCACGGTTCCGTCCAAATTCATTTAACTTTTATATTTGTTGAATTGTCCTGTGGCGAGTTGTGCCGTAGAGAGTTGGCCATGGTGAGTCATCCCATTCCCTTTTCCACAGTTGTCTGGTTTTTTTAAAAAAGCTCTAACTGCAAAATTAAAACTAGAAACAGTGGTGGCCTAAATTGGATAAGAACCACCTGATAGATGGAAAGGGTAAAGATAAAAGTTCCCCTTGCACATAAATGCTAGTTGTTCCCAACTCTAGGGGGCGGTGCTCATCTCCGTTTCAAAGCTGAAGAGCTAGCGCTGTCCAAAGACGACTCCGTGGTCATGTGGCCAGCAAGACTCAATGTTGAAGGCGCACGGAACGCTGTTCCCTTCCCACCGAAGGTGGTCCCTATTTTTCTACTTGCATTTTTTACCTGCTTTTGAACTGCTAGGTTGGCAGAAGCTGGGGCAAGTCATGGGAGCTCACTCCGTTACGCGGCGCTAGGGATCCAAACTGCCGAACTGCCGAACTGCCAACCTTTCTGATTGACAAGCTCAGCCTCTTAGCCACTGAGCCACCGCGTCCCTTGAGATTGATGGGATAGGAGAAGCTATTTCCTTCCCCACTCCTCTCGGACAAGGGGGAATAGGGAGAGGGCAAAAAAAAAAAAAAAAAAAAAGAAATAAGAAGACGAGAGTTGCAGCAAGAATGGATCCCTTTTCCTAGCCATTCTAGCCTCCCAACTCTTTGGTTGTGAGGGATCCATAACTTCAGAGCACTCTTCCCATCCTGGTCCAGGTGATCCAGGGNTCTTCAAGTTGCCAAGGTTGAGAAACACTGCCCTAATGCACTCATGTCTGAAACCTGGACATTCCTGGTTGGGAGTTCCCAGTCTTCTATCCCTGCACTCTGCACATGCCCAGACACCCTGCCGCACCCGTGATGCAAAACCCAGACAATCCCCCCCCCCTTCCCGTCTTCTCTCCCCCGCGCCCAGAGGCGCCCTCGCCCAGCCCGCCGCCACCCACCTGCGCCGCAGCTGCTCCCGCCAGACCTTCCCGCGGGGCTGGCAGGCGTCCCTCAGGTGGCGGCAGGAACAGGACAGGCGGCCCAGGTCGGCGGCGCCCAGCGAGCCGCAGCACAGGATGAGCTCCAGCAGCTCGCCCGGCAGCTCCGTCAGGCTGAGCGGGGCCGGGGCCGACGCGGGGCCCGCCCGCTGCTCCTCGGCCTCTTCGGCCGCCTCCTCACAGGCCTCCCGCTCGGCCGCCGCCATCTCTCGCGCCGCTGCCCTGAAGAGGCCGAGTGGAGGCCTGCGCATGCGCGGCGGGAGGGTTTCTCCCGCTCCCTCCCTCGGGGGGGCGTTTCCAAAGAGGCAGGAAGGCTTTCCTATGGATTTCACGATAGAGTTGGAAGGGCCCTTGGAGGTCATCTAGTCCAACCCCCCGCCCAAGCAGGAGACCCTACACCCTTTCAGACACATGGCAGTCCAGTCTCTTCTTGAAAGGCTCAAGGGATGAAAACCCCACACTTCCAAAATTAACTTCTATTCCATGGGTTGATGGTTCTCACTGTCAGGAAATTCCTCCTTATTTCCAGGTTGAATCTCTCCTTGCTCAGTTTCCATCGATTCTTCCTAGTCTGGCCTTCAGGTGCCTTGGAAAATAGTTCGACCCCCCTCCTCTCTGTGGCAGCCCCCTCAAATTTTGGAAGACTGCTATCCTGCCTCCCCTGGTCCTTCTCTTCACTAGACTAGCCATGCCCAAGTTCCTGCAAGCGTTCATCATGTTTTAGTCTTTAGGCTTTTGATCATCTTAGATAGATTCAAATTAACAGAGTTGGAAGGGACCTTGGAGGTCATCTAGACCAAACCCCTGCCCAAGCAGGAGACCCTACACCCTTTCAGGCACATGGCAGTCCAGTCTCTTCTTGAAAGCCTCCAGTGATGAAGCTCCCACAACTTCCAAAACAAACTTCTATTCCATGGGTTGATTGATCTCACTGTCAGGAAATTCCTCCTCATTTCCAGGTTGAATCTCTCCTTGGTCAGTTTCCATCCGGTATTCCTCATCTGGCCTTCAGTTGCTTTGGAACATAGCTTGACCCCCTCCTCTCTGTGGCAGCCCCTCAAATATTGGAAGATGCTCTCCTGCCTCCCCTGGTCCTTCTCTTCACTAGAATAGCCGTGCCTGGTTCCTACAACCCTTCATCGTATGTTTAGTCTCTAGACTTTTGATCATCTTAGATGAATTCAGATTAAAAGAGTTGGAAGGGATCTTGGAGGTCATCTAGTCCAACCTCCTCCCCAAGCAGGAGACCCTACACTCTTTCTGACAGATGGCCTCCCAGTCTCTTCTTCAAAGCTTCCAGTGATGAAGCTCCCACAACTTTTGAAGGCAACTTCTGTTCCATGGGTTGATTGTTCTCACTGGCAGGACATTTTTTCTTAATTTCTGTCCTTCATTAGTTTCCCTTCCATTGCTTCTTCTCCTGCCTTCAGGTGATTTGGAAAATAGCTTGACCCCCTCCTCTCTGAGGGGGAGAGCCAAGGTGGCGCAGTGGTTANTGTGTGTGTGTGTGTGTGTGTTCCAAAGCCCAAGTGTCCCCACTGAATGCAGCCCAGCAACCGCAACCACAAAATGCCTATCACAGCAGGAAAGAGCGAAGGGAAGGCCACGCTTTTCCCATCATTGAGGTTTAGGAACAGAATTTGACTTGATAGATCCTCAAGTTATGACTATTCGTTCAGGTCCCTCCTCCTTGCCCTCTGCCCATGCCCAGAGGCATCCCTTCACAACCTAGCTGTGTGCTGCGAAACTGGGAAATCCCTTTGGCTTGGGGCATCACCTTCCTCTCTGCACATGACCAGAAGCACCCCGTTTCCCAACCTGACACCCCGATGCATCGCAAGCTGCAAATCCAATGAGGTTCTATCCGTCCTCCTTGCCCCCAAGCCCTCTGCCCATGCTCAGAAGCCTCGTTGCTCTGTTCCTGGCCGTGCCCAAAAGCATCTCTTACCAATCTCTCTCCAGTCCTGGTGCATCACGAGCTGCAAAACCAGGCAGCTTTGTTGGTCTTGGGACGTCTTCCTCCTCCTCCTTGCCCCAGCTGTCCTTTACACATGCTCAGAGGCCCTGGGGCACCCATGGTGCAAAACCTGGAAGCTCCTCCTGTTTGGGAGGAACCCCTCTCCTACCCCTGCACTCTACACGTGCTCAGACACCTCGGTTAACCAGGATGCAAAGCACTGGAAGTTCCTCCTGTTTGGGAGTATACCATTCTCTACCCCTGCACTCTGCACATGCCCAGACACCCTGGTGCCCAACACCGTTAAGTTCCTCTTCATTGGGAGTATCCTGTCCTCTACACCCTGCACACGCCCAAACACCCTGGTGCATCCATGTCCGAAACCTGGACACTCCTCTTGGCTGGGAGAACCCTGTCTTCTATGCCTGCACTCTGCACATGCCCAGACACCTTGATGCACCTGTTGTAAAAAACAAACAAACCTGGGCACTCTTCCTGTACCTCTGCACTCTGCACATGCCCAGACACATTGATACACCTGTGGTGAAAAACCTGGACTCTCCTCCTCTACCCTTGCACTCTGCACATGCCCAGACACCCTGGTGCAAAATCTGGAAGCTCCTCCTGGTTGGGAGTAACCCCTCCCCCTACCCCTGCACTCTGCATATGCCTAGAGTCCCTGGTGAACCAGGGTGCAAAAAAAAACTGTAAGTCCCTTCTGGTTAGGACTAACCCGCTTCTATCTCTGCACTCTGCACATGCCCTGATGCACTCATGTGTGAAACCCTGATGCACTCATGTGTGAAACCTGGACACTCCTGGTTGGGAGTTCCCAGTCTTCTATCCCTGCACTTTGCACATGCCCAGACACTCTGGTGCAAAATCTGGAAGATCCTCCTGGTTGGGAGTTCCCAGTCTTCTATCCCTGCACTTTGCACATGCCCAGACACTCTGGTGCAAAATCTGGAAGATCCTCCTGGTTGGGAGTTCCCAGTCTTCTATCCCTGCACTCTGCACATGCCCAGACACCTTCATACACCTGTGGTTTAAAAAAAAAACAACCCTCGACACACCTCCTGTATCCCTGCACTCTGTACATGCCCAGACACCCTGATGCACCTATGGTGCAAAACCTAGACACTCCTCCTATATCCCTGCACTTTGCACATGCTCAGACACCCTGATGCACCTATGGTGCAAAACCTAGACACTCCTCCTATATCCCTGCACTTTGCACATGC